CACCCGACGCCTTCCCCGGCGGCAGCCCCGGCACGCTCGGTGACAGCATGGAGGGCACCGGTGCCACCGCCCCGCTGTCACCCACCATCAGAGCGGGGTGGCTGGACAAGAACCCACCACAGGGGTGAGTGATGTGCTGGGGGTCTCTGTGTGCCATGGAGGGGTGATTGTCCTCCCCTTTTCCCGCCTGTAATTCCTGCTCGTGGGGGCGTAATTTTGCTTTGGTGAAAATACATCACGAGGGGTTCCTTCTACTCCCTTCTAACCCATGATTTAGGTTAGAATGACACAGTTTTGGTGAAAAAGCCTTTCTCAGAGCGGGTGCCACCAGTGGTTACACTGAGCTGGCTGAGGAGGAGGAGGAGGAAAAGCTGCAGCTTGAGCTCCCTCCTGGACCCTGTGTCACTGGGAAAAGAGCTGCCTTTGCTCTTGGGGAGCCCTGGAGTAGCGGTAACCCCAAAAGAAGCTGTCAGGGATGAGGTGAGGTGTCTGGGATGACCTGTGGGTTTGGGGATTGCTGCGTTTGCCACAGGAGGAGGCAGTGATGGCCCCCATCCCATGGGATGCCAGCCCCAAATCCCAGTGTGTGCAGCCCTGGCCCCTGAGGCTCATGGTGCAGAGCCACAGGGGTGCAGCAGAAAAACAGGGGGGGTGTCTGTGTGCTCCAGGGCAAGCAAACCCAGGGGTCAGAGGGAGCCCAGCGAGCCCCCAGGGAGTCACAGGGAGCCCAGGGAGACCCAAGTAGTCCAGTGAGCCCAGTGAGCAGAACAAGCACAGTGTGCACAGGGAGCCTACTTGCCCCCATCTCAGCAGGGAACCCACTCAAAGAGCCCTTGCTCCATCTGGGAGGCAAAAATCAAGCAGGAGATGTGAAGGATATTTGGGGACTGCTTAATCTGGGCTGTGAGGAAGCCCCAAGGCAGCAGTTCCACTGAGGAGGAGGAAGCTCCCCTGTTTGCAGCAGAGCATCCGTGCTGCTGGGGAAGTGAGAGCAGCTGGAAGGTCCCTGGGAAGCTGCTCCGGCAGCTGCTTGGCAGGGACTCAGAGCCTGGGAAGGCAATGAAAGGAAAACCAGGAGCCCCAACCCTGCAGCACTGAACGGCAGTGGGAGGTGAGAGCAGGGTGGGGGTCCCTGCCCCCGGGGACGAGGCTGGGCTGACAGGGAGCAGCGAGCCCAGGGCAGAGCCGAGGGCCGCAGTGCCGGATGCTGGAGGTGGTTACATAAAGGCTGAGCGTGGGGTCACGTGTGGCCATGGCCAAACCCTTCCTGAGCAAACAAGCCCTTGAGCAACCACCGTGTCCCTGCCCGTGCACCAGCCCCCGGCCCCTCCAGCCGCGGGGGGCTCCGGGGATGCAGTGCTGGCAGGGGCTGCATGGCAGGGCTTGCCAGAACTGTGTGGGAAGGGGCTTGGCTTCTTCTGCAGCCCTGGTGCTGCACAGAGGGGCTGAGGGGTGTCGTGCCTTTCCCTGTGCTGCCTGGCTGGTCTGTATGCTGGGCTGGGGTCCCTGGTGGGCTCTCCTCCAGCCCCGGGGGTCCTCCCTCTCTTCTGTATCCCCATCCTGTTAGAGACACCCGGCTTCTCCTTCTGCCCCTGGTGCCACTGTCCCCTTCTGGAACGTGTCCCTGGATTGAACTCTGCCTGGCTGTTAGGTCCTGAGCAGTAAATAGGGATTTTGGGGAGCTTTTAGGGACAGCCCTTGTTCTCAGCTCCATGTTTTAATTGGTGCCTGGAGGAAAGCATGAAGCCTCCATTGCTGTCCCCAGCAGTGACATGAGGGCTGGGGACATGGCACAGGATGGAGGGCTGGGACATGGTGCAGTATGGAGGGCTGGGGACATGGCACAGGGTCAAGGGTGGGGGATACAGGGCAGAATGGAGGGCTGGGGACATTGAGAGCTGGGGACACAGCGCAGGATGGAGGGCTGGGGATATGAGGCAGGATCAATGGTGAGGTGGCCCCAGGCTTTTGGCAACTGGGGCATGAACACAGAAGCAGAATTGTCCTGAGTTCAAGGGCATCCCCTCCAATGGGTCCCTCTGGTCCCCTCCCAGGTCCTACATCTACCAGAAGCGCTGGGTGAAGCTCGACGCTGACTACCTCCGCTATTTTGACAGTGAAAAGGTGGGTGGACAGATCTGGGGGTTTGGGGTGAGTAGGTGGTAGAGGAAATGCTCCAGCAAGGCCACTTTCCTCTGGGCACCCCAGCTGGGAGGTGTGGCTGTGCCAAGGGGCAGCATCCCAGGGACCAGCCGTGGCTGGGGTGAGATGTGGAACACTCAGAGCCTCCTGGACAACCACCCCGTGTCCCCGAGGCCCAGAGATGAGCGGTGTGTCTCCCCACTCCCTGCCCCAGGACGCCTACTCCAAGCGGCTCATTCCCGTCTCCTCCATCTCCCGCGTCACCAGCGTCGGGGACCAGAAGTTCGAGGTCATCACCAACAACCGCAACTTCGTGTTCCGGGCCGAGAGTGATGGTGAGCACTGGGGGGTCCCTGCTCCCTGGCTGCTCCCTGGCTGCTCTCTGGCTGCTCCCCCTCCCCAGCCCATGGGATGGGTCCCATTGGCTCGTGGCTCCGGGCTGATCCTGATGTGTCTCCCGTCTGGCCCCACAGCGGAGCGTAACGAGTGGATCCGGACCCTGCAGCAGATTGCAGAGGAGCGGAAGAGCAAAGCTCCGGAGAGGACACTGATGTCCTTGGCCACCGACGGTGCCCCTGAGCCAGCCGATAAGAGCGGCTTCCTGGAGCTGCGGGGCTTTAAGCACAAGCTCTTCGTGGTGGTGGCTGGGGACAAAGTGTTCCTCTACAAGAATGCAGAGGTGGGTGGCTGGGGGGACTGTGGCACTGAGAGGGACCCTGGTGCTGTTTCATGGGGGACCCCTTCCCTTTCTGCTCCCAGCCTGAGCAGAGCAGCAGTGAACCGGGGCACCCGGGCCTGCCACCCCTCAAATGAGGACAGCACAGATCCCACAGCGTGGTGAGCTCTGAGCTGCAGCCCCTGGCTGGCCCCTCCCCACTGGCTCTGAGCCTTGGGGTCCCCCAGGAGCATCATACCCACAGTAGCTGCCCCCAAGTGTGCAGTGCCCCAAGGATGAGAACTGGGCAGGGAAGGGACATGGTTACCCCAGCTTCCAGGCACTGGATCCCATCATCCATTCCCTGCTCCAGAGGGGTCCCTGCTGCCCCCTCACCTGCCCTCGCCCACCAGGACTATCGGCTGGGGATTGGCATCACCTACATTGAGATGAACGTGGGGAACGTTAAGGAGGTGGATCACCGGGGCTTCGACCTCACCACACCATACAGACTCTTCAGGTGAGCCCAGGGTGGGGAGGGCGTGCCGGGGGTGCTGCCCACCCCCAGCTGTGCTGTACCTCACCCCCATCCCCGCTGGCAGCTTCTCTGCTGACTCGGAGCAGGAGAAGGAGGAATGGGTGGAGGCCATGCAGCAGTCCATCGCCGAGGCACTCTCCAACTCCGAGGTGGCTGAGAGGATCTGGGCGGTGGAGTCCAACCGCTGCTGTGCTGACTGTGGCTCCCCCAAGCCTGAATGGGCCTCCATCAACCTCTGTGTTGTCATCTGCAAGAGATGTGCAGGTACCTGCATCCTGGGGGGCACAAATGGGGGTCCCCGGGGACCCCTAGACCTCTCCCACCCCAAAATGAGTCCCTAACAGCTCGTCTTGGTGGCAGGGGAGCACCGGGGATTGGGCCCTGGCATTACTAAAGTTCGGAGTCTGAAGATGGACAGGAAGGTGTGGACTGAGGAGCTGATCAAGGTATTGGCACAGACTGGCCCCCAAAAGCCCTTTTGGGGGGACGACACCCTGTTCCCTTCGCATGGTGGAGCTGCTGGCTGCGGGCTGGAGGCTGGGGCAGGGACCCCCCCAGCAGCCTTTCATCCGTGTCCCTGTGGACCCCTGGCACCCACCCAAGAATTCCAGCGACGACAGGCAGCACCTGTGTGCCTACACCACAGACA